TTTCACATGACATATGGTTATGAGTCACAGGTATGTTATTGTTTCACACATATGACTCATTCGAGTTATATAATTTGTTATGTGTGGGATTTGTGATGCTTTCGTACATGGCTCAAATATGAGTCATGAGACGTGCGCCTGATGAGTATGCCTTGTGAGTGTACCTTATGGGTGTGCCTTGCGCATATGATTTATGTTTCGCACATGACCTCATTATGAGGTCATGGGTTTCATGCATATGACTCAGTCGAGTCATAAGACTTGTTTATTGTGTTATGATTGGTTTATGAGTTTTTGCACATGACCTCACTATGAGGTCATGGATTCTGAGCATGCGACCACTTTGGTCACATGACTAGTTTGTTATGATTTGGTTTCGCACATGTGACCACTTTGGGTCACATAACTACAAGCAGGAAGAACACTATATATGTAACCGGTATGAGTACTCAGTTATTAGTTGGTTTTAGGTTTTATTTTAAGTATCATTTTGATACTTGGTTTGCTTTAAGTATTGTTCGATACTTAGTTTATTTTATGTTTTATTTTAAGTATCGTTTTGATACTTGGTTTATTTTAAGTATCGTTCGATACTTAGTTGTTTTATATTCTGTTTTAAGTATTGCTTTGATACTTGGTTTGTTTTAAGTATCACTTGATACTTAGTTTTATTTTATGTATTGTTTTAAGTATCGTTTTGATACTTGGTTTATTTTACCAAAGAGTATCGCTTGATACCTTTGATTAGCTTCGTTTATGCTAGATATGGACAACATTTGTGTATTTAAAGCCCACCTAATCCCACGATGGAAAAGGTAGACTTCGACAGACAGTATTTCAATATACTTAGTTGAACGGTTACTTCTTTGTTTCTCAGTACACCCTCGAAGCCTCCTTTAGTTCTCAGCTCTCACCTCCTCTCTGGAAGAGCAGGCCACCTGCCAACTATCATATCTATTACCGATAACGTGATTAGCACCTTGCGAACACGTTACAATATAAGGAGGCTGATGCAGCCGAGGAGGATAGGTTCTTCACACTTTGTTCTAAGTACTTTTCCTACTTATTACTTTAACAAATAAAACACCTTTACAATCTTTATTTTTATTACAACATTATTGTTATGCCAGGGAGAGCTTTTCACAAAGAAGAGTTAGAGAAAGCTTATGATAGGCGTTCCCAATAGAAGACAAAGGTCTTGTACTATCGGTAACATAGGCAGAGGCCTAGTGCTATCGTAAGACTAAGGAAAGAAACAGAAGAAGATGAGAAATATCATTCCCCATCACCAAGAACTAACTTTCCAGAGAGGGATCATTATAGCCTGCCAGTCCATTTACCATTGGAGAATCTGCCCGTTACTTGTATCCATTAATAGATCTTTACCATATAGTTAGCTATCATCTTATTCTCATGATGATACTTACTCCATTGAAGTTGAACTTCTAAGGTGACAATTTTCATACAAAGTGTTCAACCTTGTGGCTATATACTTACCTTTTGACATGTTCGTTTATCAATTTTTAAATACTTGCCAATCTTTGTCCAGCTCTACCTTACCTCATCACAGAGTGTAATCACTTTAATACACTCATTATAAGTTGTTTTGCAATGTCTGACGACTTGGGGATTCTGTTTGCGTCTATCTTTTTGCTTCATAGTTGTTGTTATAGTCTTGTGATGGTGTTTATGGGTGAGATATTGTGTCCGCAATTTTTTTACTCCTACCGGTAGTTATTACATTCCACTTCTCAGCTTGACAATCAGGGTGTGCATACAGCATAGAGGGGCTTGTACCACTGCACTGTAAATACCCTTACTCCCGAGTACAGTCATGTCTGGAAATTCTTCGCACCCCTGGATCGCAACTACACAACTCCTTATCACTACAACTACCTCTACTATGACCCTACCATATACCCTCAGAGTCAGAAATAACTTGAATAAGCAAATTTATATCCTGTATAAATATACAAATATGGGATATAATAAAATTTCCAAGTCTTTAGGTGTTCCCAAGTCTACTATTCATTATGTGGTTAAAAAAGTAAAATCTAAGCATGAAAATACTCATGATGCAATAAGAGGTCGAAGATCAACCAAGATTACCAATACTAAAAAAAAGATAGTGGAATCAGTTATCAATGCCAAGCCTTATTTAGAATTTTACATCATTACCAAAAATGCGAATATTGGTCTAGGCAAGACCACTATTGATAAGATTATTTCAGAAGCTGGTTTTAAGCTTCTGATACTCAGAAAAATGTATTTTTGGAGAAAAGGACAAAAGGAGAAGAGAAAGGAGTTTGCTAGGAGAAGGAAGAACTAGAAGGGGGCATGGAATTGGGTTGTTTTTGTGGATGAAGCCACAATTGTTTATGATCTAAATCCTACTAGAAGAAAGGTCAGAGTTAGATCTGGTGAAGAGTTGGAAGAAAAAAACTTGAAGCCTAGCTTTAGGTCTAGGAGGACTAGTATTGGAATCTATACTGCAATCATGAAGGGTGACAGGACTGAGTTAATTCTGGTGAGGAAGAGGGGAGAGGAGGAAAGGACCAGTAAAAGAGACAAACTTGGCCTCAATTCCCCTCAATATGCAACTGAAATCCACCAGCCATACCTCATTCCTTTCATAGAAGGTCTGGATAGGCCTTCTGACAACATCTACCTAGCTGCAGACAATGTCTTCTGACATGGTGGTGAGGAAAATTGAAAATTAGAGGCTGACTGTAGTTACAAAAAACTCCCTTGGCCACCCAACTCACCACATCTCAACCCTATTGAGAACACCTGGGCACTACTCAAAAGAGCTCTCATCAAGTGATTCTCCAAACTAGAGAGAAGGCCTCACAGTGCTGCTGAATTGTTTGAGGCAGCAAAGGAGGAGTGGGAATTAATTCCTCAATAGAAGTTGGATGGATGGATAGATAGAATGCCTGAGAGAATGTTGGCTGTACTGGATGCAGATGGAGGCCATACAAAATGGTAATAATGTTTTTCTATCATCTACTAGCTATACTATTATCTTTTCTTTAATTGAATTCTCTACTTTTTTTTTGAATTTTTTGTGGTTGGGTGTCGTGGTAGTGCCATTGCCGGGCGGGGTGCGAAGACTTTCCGGACACGACTGTACTCGTAGGTCTACTCGAGTAGATACGGTCACCTGAGCCCTGTCGGTCCCATCACTAACGTCCTTAGAAAGTTCACCCGGAAGAGGAAAAAGGGACCCCGATTTGTCACAAACAACCCCGCGCCACTTGTATGTAATTCTGGGCGCACACTCATCACCCACAAAATGGTGGATGCCTCCCCTGTTCTGTTGCGGCAACAAACGGGTTAAACCGCAGTTCTAGGCACATCCACTCCATTATTAATATACCGGTACGGTGATTCTGTTCGCATGCTCTCCGCAAACAGGCACTAGGCTGATATAGGTTTTGAAAGCCCAATCACTGACGATGGTATTGCAAAGCTTTATGTCTGTTTCCTCTGCGCTTTGCAGGAAAGGCTTTCAAAATGGCTGTTGAGCCGACCGATACTCTGTGCCTCGTTGTTGTTTCACTGGGGGGGGGTGGTGTGCAAGTGCTTTTGCGTATGACTTGCAGTGTCGTGGAGGGATGGAAATCCATTGGCTGGAAAAGATATCATACCGGTAGGGTGGGGGTGGGGTATCCTAATACCGGCACGGAACTTATTGGCATAACTTATGTAGCACTCTAGATGATATGCTTTACCACCCACTCTGGGGATACGGGTAGGGCTATGATTCCTTTCATAAACCCTTACTCGAGTACCGGTACTCGTATTGTGTCCAGTAAAAACTCTTGGAATTAACTATCTCCCGTGTCGTGAATATCCCTGTAAATCGAGACATCAAACAACCCAAGATAGGTTGAGCTTAGTAGGTTAATGGAATTGAGAAAAAGCCAGTTAATAAGATCCTACACACTCCATGGCTTTGGCTATCCCATGCCAGGCACTAATCCCTCCGAAGGTCCTTTGTCTCTACTAGCGAATTTCAAGAGTTTTTACGGTGCAGTACAAGTATAATTACCGGTATTCTGGGTTTTTAGTTAGTTATGTCTTGTTAGGTTTGGGAAAGTGACGGTTCTGCGGTTTTTTCTTTTCTTTGTGGGAACGAGCACCTTAGAAATGTATCATAATAATATTATTATATTATAAGGGACCTCTCACCCCTCATTTTCTCCTCGAGTAAATGGAGCGAACAGAACGAACATTGCGGACACGCACACGACCAAACACCACGAACATGAACCACACAAGTGATAACACGAGCGAGCAAACTGAGAGTTGGCCACACCGGCGTTAATCGTTTGCTTCCATCTTCTCTTCTCTTTTCCCGTTTGGTTTGTGCGAGCCCCTGCTGTACCCTTACGGATCTTCCTGGCTTTTACGTTCTTTCCCATACCGATCCAATACCGTTCTCTCAATACCCGGTACTCACTAAACCACTCTTCACTCAGGTGGTTTGTCTATATATATATTTATATATATATATATTAATCGAGGAACAGTTGTCACAATACGAATAAATTAAAATAATAATAATAATAATAATAATAATAATCTGTATCGTATGATATGTATGATTCTATGTAAACCTAAACTCGGAACCCAAAGGCCCACCGTCGTGGGCAGCATGGCTACTTTTATCGTCTATGATAGCACCGCTACGGGATTTCGTCTATATCCCCATTGGCAGGACATATAAACATCACTCAGCCTTGCGAGCGTGGAAGGGAGGTTGATTGCTTATACGATATCAGTCACTCTGCCGTACTGTACCGCACAGTACATACCAGTAGCCATAGTGGTTCTTTCAAAGACTTCCTAACTTTTTTTGTCCCATCCCCTCTCCTGCCTTCCTTCCTGCCTGTTCCCAGTCTCTCTGCTGGGGTTCACTTCTTGCACTTTTCTTGCCGCCATCGTGCTCCAGTTGCTACCGGTATGATATCGTATCTTCGCTACGCTGCATTATTCCCACCCTTGACAAACACTGGATTCCCCACCGCTAATTTACTGCCTCCCGTTCTCACAACTCACCGCACTTGATATATGATACCCAGTAGCTTGCCCTAAACCATGCCAGTATCTCCAAAACCACCCATCCTTCAACCCTCTCCCTGTACTATGTATGATATATCAGTGTTGGCGGGGGTTAGCTGCAGATAAGGGTGCGGCACACTCCACCTCACAGCAAACTCAAACTTCCCGTTACGCCGCGATCAACTTCACTTTCGTTGTTCAGCTGTTTGCTCAGTGTGCCTGACCTAGGCTTTTATCATACTGTAAAGTACTTGTTATGCCACAAGTTGTGGTCGGAGTCATTATTTAATTAACTTTGTTTTTTTCTCACTGACGTGTCTGGATATGGTAAGTTGATGCGGGAGACGACGGCGAAGGCTGTGATGCTGTGTTGGTGGTGGTAACTTAAGTCCCGCTTGGCTAAGTTTAGGCTGGCTCGATCAAAACTTGTACGATACAATAATCTCTGTTGTGCGGTACGATACTCTCCTGGGCAGACTACCGTACTGTGGAATTCTGGACGAGTGTGATATTGATGAAAGCGATGATAATAGATACAGTCGGAAGTATGGTGTGTAATACAGTACCGTAGCGCTTTAGTCGTGTGTCTAGCTCGCACCCACGCACCCACTCACGCACCACCATCATATTTACATGAATCTCGTTGTCCGGACCTTCTTCTGCGTCACGGCAGTTGCTGCAAGGGCAAAATCCACAACCGGAAACCCTCCTCTCGTTCTTCATCTCCATCTCCATCTTCCTCCTCGGGCTCCTGGGCCGTCATCAGCTGGCCAGAGTCGGTATCGGAACCCGAATCTTCAAGGACCCAATCATCCCATCATTTCCCATCAGAGCCCAGATCTTCCCCGCCGGTTATGAGCTCTTCAAAGTCAGTGTCGGAACTGGAGTCCTCGAGGGCCCAACCGTCACGTATTTTGCCATCGCTGTCATAGTCACTAGAGACTGCCGTGCCCGCGATTTTTGTTGCTGTTGTTGCAGGTGCTGTCGCGGCTGCAGCCATAGTGGCAGTAGCAGCATTATCGCCGTGCAAAGCTTCCGTAGCCTCGCGGGGCCTCTTATCCTGCTCCTGTTCGGAATTCGTCCTCTCCAAGCCTTGAGCGCCAAGGACCTGCCCCTCTGACGTATAGTAGTCCACTTCCCTCCCAGTGAACATGTGCCCGTGAATGAACCTCATGTGCTCATGCAGATCCCAATCGAACAACGTGGCCCTAACCCTATCGCACACCCAAGCCTTGTTCTTCGTGAGGCTCGTGCCCATAGCCTCGCCCAGAAACCCCTTCCGCAGGCGTAAATTCGTAGCCTTCAAGTGCGCACCACTGGCACTCATGCACCGCACTACCGCATACTTCAGCGGAACAACCATGGTAGGCGGTGTACTGAAGGTCTTGCGTAGCATGAGCGTGTACATGTACTCCGTCTCCAGGTCCTTGTCTATGGGCGTGCTGGAGTGATAGTGCGCGGCGATTTTGGTATTGTAGTACATTCCCGGGCCCAGCATTGGGCGCATAGGGTTGCTCGGCGGGATGTAGTGAAGAAAGTCGCGGGATGGTGCCTTCGGTATGACCTTGTGGACCACAGGCGGTCCGGGTCCAGGCCTCAGGAGCTGCGGGGCTTCGTGGTGGGGCTGATGGGATGTAAAAGAGGTTTTGCTCAGGATACTACTCTTTTTCGGGATCTTTGTGGTTGTGCCTTTGTTAAAGACGCGGGGCTTACGGGGGCGAGATCTGATGCCGGAGAGGTGGGGTGTTGTGGAGATTGGGCGGGTGGCGGGTGGGTAGAGAAAGCGCATTCGAAGTGCTGGAGTGCGCGGAGGCATTGAGATTGAATTGGGGGCGGGGTTGGTGGTGGTGGGGGTACTGAAAGAGTTCGGGAAATTTTCGTGATGGTATAGAGTTCTAGCGTCTGCGTTTGCCAAGACCTAGGCCTGTCTTTACCGTATTCTGACCCTGAATCTATGATGCGGTATTATACTCGAGGAATTTGAGCATACTAATAGTACCCGACCGGGAATAGGCAATTTAAACCATACACCCGCTTGCATCTTCATTGAGACAGCACTCGGGTAAGGTCTGCCCAACAACTAAACCCCGTCTCTCTACTCATGTTGCTGGGCTGAAGTCGCGCTTTTTTTTGGTGGTGGTGATGCACCAAGAGGGACGCGACTTCAATCTGGCGGGATGAGTGCTGTTGTATGATACAAAAACTATAATACATAATTATGATATCAAAAGAGCCAAACTCCGAGAGCCCAAGAGTCTATCATAACCCATCACTCGCGCAATACCTTCCTTCCGGATCCCCATCATCCCTCATAAGCTACCCACCGCTCTCGACTGCTCTCCATTGCCCCTTACCCCCCCCCCTTCCCCCTTTTCATCTGCATCTTCCCGACATCTTATTCCGCGAGTACACAGTATCAGTCACGCACTCAGCTATAATGAGAATATCCGGAGCTCACAATTCCCAAACCAGATCAACAGCAGCGGGATAATCACACCTACAACTCCCGCCAAGATTCCGACGATTTCTCCTCTCCCCAGGCTCATTTTTGTCTTTGTCGGTGATGGCAGTAGCACCGGTATTGTGGTGATTATAGGAGGTGAGGAAAGGAGGCAGGGTGTGGGGAGGTATATGGCGCAAACCGGTATCCTATGGAGGGATTGGCTTTTATACGAGAATCGTTCGCACCGGTGTGATATCGGATTAGAGCGGCCGTGGTTGATAGGGAGCTGAGACATTATGCGCTCGAGCGTCCCCCTGCGTGCCGCACTGCCGTATATTGACAACAACGGGGCCACTACGATCATATTCGCGGACAGCCTCACAAAAAAAATTGCTAAGTTAATCTTAATTCATGGAATTTGCTATTTGTATGGATCGTGAATCATAGCTTTTCTAAAGGTAACTGAAAAAACCAATCGACTCCCACCAAATATCTAAACCCGGAAGAAAAAAAGTGCATGGAATTCTAAGATCAACCCGGAAGATTTACATGTAATTTTTCAACCTTCTCAACTTCTCCTTTGCAGCTTCGAGGACGTCGTCATCTTTACAGACTGCGAACCTGAGGTAGTTTTCTGCTTCCTTTTCGTTGGCTTCGGTGTAGAATTCAGTGGGCGGGATTGCAGCGACCCCGATCTCCTTGATTAGGAACCAGGAGAGTTGAAAGTCTCTCGGTCGAGAAGACACATGAGGTGGAAATTCGTAATCTTCAGGCATTTTTACCTTGCTCATGTTGACCAGGACAAAGTAGCCACCCTCGGGATCGGTGAACTGGTAAGGTCAGTTGATAACATGGAGGCATAGAACACGGGGGCAAATACGGGAAGGCCTAATTCGTCCCAAACTTCATTGAAGCGGTCCATCTTGCCCTTCATTTCGCGCTTGGAGCTCTCCCAGAATCCCTCCTCGTCAGCCTGTTCGAGCCCGATAGCTACTGCTTCTTGAAGAGGAGAGACGGAAGAATAACAGATCTACCACCCATGAGCGAAACACCCCTAGGAAAGGTAAGATACCTACACGAGTATGAGCAGCGGCGGAATATTTGATGAGGTCGGGTCTCCCAATTAACCAGCCAACCTTAATTCAGAATTAATTTCTGGTTGTTCGTAAATAATTCAAGAGCTCCTACCCTCCAACCAGTGCAATAGAAGTTCTTCCCAGCAGACCCAACTGTGATCGTGAGATCTCTAATCTCCGGGGTGAGGGTTGCAGTTCTAGTGAAAGGGACGTAGAATAATCTATCGTAGACTTCATCGCTGAGAATGAGGATGTTATGCTTAACACACAATTCGCCAATTCCCATAAGCTCCTCCTTGCTAAAGATTTTACCGATCGGATTGTGCCTGGTGGTTATCAGCCTCCACCCTGCGAATCACAATCCCAGAGCGGCGGGCATAAACCTACGGATTATTGATGACCTATCCTCGAATTAAATTACCACACAACGAACCACATAATGCGACTCATGGAGAACAAACTCACCACCATCCTAGTCTTCTCAGTGATAGCCCTCTCAAGCTCTGCCAAATCCAAGGTCCAATCGTTGGACGAACAAACCTCCGTGTCCCCCTTCGCGGGTGGATGCAGCGGGACGTAGACAACCTTTCCACCAGCCATCCGAATGTTGGGAACATACTGATCGTAGAACGGCTCCATGACAATCACCTCGTCACCCTTCTCGATGAAGCCCATAAAGGCACTCAAAATGCCCTCATTTGCACCGGTGGTGATAACAATTTCAGTGGCAGGATCGAGCTTACGGCCAAAGAATGGAGAGTAGGCATCCGAGAGAGCCTGGCGCAAGCGGAGGCGGCCCTGAGTGGGAGAGTATTGGTTACAGTCAACCCTATCCAGCGCTTCTTTCGCAGCATTTACGATAAATTGAGGCGGGTTGTAGCCACTGTTATTGTTTTGTTTTTTTCGAAGGTGGGAAAAAAAAATTAGACAAACAAACTTTTATATCATGTGTCTTGTGGGTAGAAGAGGAGGAAGAAGGAGACGACCCACAAGAAGCCTTGGCCAAGATTAATAATTGTGTTTCCTGAAGCCGTGGCTGCCGCAGCTGCTTCGTTGACAATTGACCAAACATCTTTGGCCTGGGTAGCTACTCTCGCAGCAGGTTTTATCATCGTTCGTAACTGCCCGGGAGAGATCCTGGGAACCGAGGGGCGGATGTTGCGAAGTAGAAGTGCTGGGAGGCTCATGCAAGATGTGGCGAGCGGAGCGGTAAAGGGTGAACTAGGGAGGAGGGTGAGGAAGGGAAGGGAGGCAAGCGGGTGAAGGAAGGACACTAGGTGTCCCGCGGTGGGGCGGGATTGAGAAGCGAATTTCCCCCTCCACAGTAGGGCGGCCGCTAAGATCGTCATCTCCTATTCCTGGAAACACTGATTCTTATTCTTGTCAATATTTATTTTATTTTATTTTTCCGAAAAATTTCTCCCCATGATACCACTCAAGCTTCCTTCATCTGCTGGGTCAAAGAAAACAAAAATGGTCCAAGCCCTCTACAAAGCTTTGCTCCGAGTCTCCAACCACGTTGGGAAAACCCAGGATCGCATACTCGTGGTTGAAGGAGTCGTGGGCAAAGATAAGTGGGGGATGATGCGGTTGGCTGTCGGTTCGGCCCCACTGAGCAGGGGAGGGTAGAGGTCCTACTCGAGTACGAGTACTTGGTACAGTACTATACTTGTAGTGTCATTGTGTATTCGGAATTGAGCACTAATAGGAACGCCAGTCCCAGGTGAGAATTCCAAAAAGGTACAAATGGTAGCTACCCACTTTCCTACTTCTAGCTATGAGCTCCACCTCCACCAGAGAGCAACTCAGAATGCTTGCTGAGCTAGCTGCAGAGAAAGGAAAATGAGAACTTTGAACTAACAAGTTGACTATATTCCAAAATGGTTGAAATGATTTTAGAAGGAAACAGAAGTAAAAAAAAAAAAAAGACACTTAGTGCTGGTTCATCCAGATTTTACCCAGCTCTTACTGAGGATTCAATTCTGCCCCTTTACATCCTATTCTAATCCTTCCTTCCTTAAAAATCTTCCTACTATCTTTCCTCTACCTATATCTTTCTCCAGCTAGTTGTCATTTTATTCCTCCTAGTTTCTAGTTTCATGTGAGTATCACAGGTACTGCTTAAAATAGTTAAAAATCATACCTGAACCCAGCCATTGCTTATTACACGCCAAATTCATTCCCATCGCTAGCTTCAATGACAGCAGCGATCCAGCGTGGCATGGAGGCAATCAGTTCATTAATATAGTCTACCAGGAGGCCTCTCCACTCTTGTACCACACAATCTCTCGCATTGCTGGATCCCGATAGTTCCAACCTATTCTTCTCTTGAAAATATCATTAATGTAGCGCCAAACCTCTTTTATTGGGTTCTAATCTGGAGAGCAAGGTAGAAGGGTGATTCTCTCAGAGCCACAGTCTAATGCTTTGGTAACATTATACTTCTTTATATGAGATGGAGCACCATCTTCAATAAAGTAAAGAAGTTTCTGGCATATAGTCATTTGTTGAAAGAAGAATAGAAAGACTTTTAAGCGAAGAACTTACTCTCTGTAAATATACCAATCTACTTCTTCTTTTCTTTTTACACTGCAAGTTTTTTGAACTGGAATAGTATGAGGTTCACCAGGTCCAGTAAAGTAGTGGTAATCATTGGTATCACTCTGAAACTCTTGTTGTAAGCAGATGATTGATTCATGCCATTGGGCTTGAGTCTTAATTGGAGATGGGAAAAAGTGGTAAGGCAGCTGGGAGCCATGGTATCCGGACATGATTACACCCTAAAGCATGGCTGCAGATCTTTTAGGAAACCTTCTATCCAGGTTCTGAGGTAAGTACACTTTTCCAGCCTGCCTTAAAACTCCCTTTGCCCAAGAGGAGCGCAGTGTACTTGCTTCAAAATGTGACTCATGAGTGAATAGAACAATAGTAAAATTGAAGTTCTGATACTTCAAGGCCCACTCCAGTCTTGCAGTGTTGGCCTTGGCACTCAGAAAAGGTTTCTTGGTAAACCGACAGCAGTGGATTCCATCAGTGGTAAGGATATTTGATAAAGTGTTTCTGCAAATAGATAGTCCTGATTCTGTAATAAGCTCTTTGAGAGACTTCCTGCAATGTGTGGCATTCTGCAGTATGAGGGCAATAACTTACTGTTTTTCCTCGACAGTTAGGTCTTCATTGTGACCTTTCTGGAAGGTGGAAGCTGGGCGCAGATTTTCTTCCAAGCAAGGATCAAGAATGTGAGTTTGGGGTATACATAGTATTGAGAGCCGAATAATATCCGAGCAGATTGAGAGAGGCATATTTGTTGATGCTGTAATATCTCGGAGAGGTAATTGCATATTTCCTGGCAAATTTGCAAGAGCTACAATTTGTCCTCGCTTCGATAGAGAGGTTGTAACTGGTACGGGTACTCAGTTATTAGTTTTGTTTTATATTTTACTTTAAGTATTGCTTTGATACTTGGTTTGCTTTAACTATTGTTGGATACTTAGTTTTGTTTTATGTTTTGCTTTAAGTATCGCTTTGATACTTGGTTTATTTTAAGTATTGTTTGATACTTAGTATTGTTTGATACTTAGTATTGTTTGATACTTAGTATTGTTTTATGTTTTGTTTTAAGTATCGCTTCAATACTTAGTTTGTTTTAAGTATAGTTTGATACTTAGTTATGTTTTGTGTTTTGTTTTAAGTATCGTTTTGATACTTGATTTGTTTTACCAAATTGTATTGCTTAATATCTTTGATTAGTTTTGTTCATGCTAGACATGAACAAGATTTATGTATTTACAGACTGCCTGTTTCCATGGTCGAAAAGGCAGACTTCGACAGACATTATTTCAATATACTTGGTTGAACAATTACCTCTCAGTTTCTCAATACACCCTCGAAGCCTCTTTTAGTTCTCAGCTCTCGCCTCTTCTCTGGTAGAGCAGATCACCTGCAAACTATTGTACTATTTAGTGATACACAATTAGCACCTTGCGAACACATTACAGAGGTGGTAGGTCCATGTTGCTGCCCGATGTCTTGGATTTGCCTATTACCACAGTCTCTTAGCACTAATCTTCATAAAACTGTAATGATCCCTCCTTGGATAGTTAGTTCTTGGCAACAGGGAACGATACTTCTCTTCTTCTGTTTCTTTCCTTAGTCTTACGATAGCACTAGGCCTCTGCCTATATTACCAATAGTACAAGAATTTTGTCTTATATTGGGAACACCTATCATAAGCTTTCTCTAACTCTTCATTGTGAAGAGCTTTCCTTGTTATAATGGTAATGTTGCAATAAAGATAAAGATCGTAAAGGTGTTTTATATTTGTTAAAGTAATAAATAGGAAAAGTACTTAGAATTCAATCTAATTTTATTTAAACTCGTACAGCCAACACTGGCATACAAAGAGTCCCCACTGGCACAGGGATACCACTAACCAGTATACCACTAATTCTAAGCTAACTAAGTCTACGGCCCCGCACCTACCATCCCTGAGTTATGCCTGCATAGAAACTAATTACAAGACCATCAAAGAACCCAGCACCCACCCTGGTCCAAGTCTGTAGCCCCTCTGGTCTGAAGCCAACAAGCATTAAGTGTAGCCCAAGCCGAGCAAAAGACCAATCCAACCAGGTTCTTCGTCCAACAAAAATTTTAAAACACTACCGCCCGGTCTAAACACCGTCCTATGAAACCTCCACCACAGTAGAAAATCAACAAAAGCCAAACTAAACCTACAGGCGGCACAATGGCAGGGAGGAGGCAACCGACATGTTCACCTCTTGCACCTGCATGCCAGGCCATCGACACTATGAACCCACTTTGCCAGTTGCCTCCGAAGAGCATACCGGTGAGGAGGACCTGTACCTGCTCCCTGTCCCCTAAACAAAACAACATTTAAGCAAAAGAAATACACAGAGGTGGCGACAGACTGTAAAGGTGAGTGGAGCCTATCTTCCACCCATGGTGCCATGCCTCCTTTAGCCAAACACGTAGCCAAGCTAAAGAAACCAAACATATCTCATGAAACCCAGCATACAAGACCCAAACATGTCCAACCAGGTGGTAGCAACCCACTATCCGCACAGGGGGCCATCTGCCAGCGGGCCCATCTGGGAGCTTTACAGCACTCAGCAGCTTCGCCGAACTGCCCAAGCCAGACTGGAAACACTTAATTAGACCTTGTCCAACCTGACGCAGGCTCGACTGGTACTCGCAGGTGGTTCCCCCTCCCCAATCATCCCCCCGCAAGCCCCACAAACCAGACACCACAGAGTCCATCCAGCCCCCCAACCTCTCGGACAGATCAAATATCCAATAGCTACAGGACAGCCCATACCTAGCCCCATCAGGCAGCCCCTGGTCTTGGCCACACCAACAGAGTCCTAACCCCTAGCACCTTATAGCCGAGGGGGACTCACCAGTCATAGCCAGGAGGTACAAATGAGGCAGCACCAATACCCAAAGGTACCGACACTAGCCATACCATCCAACCTAGTCGAACCAAGATCCAACCAAGCCGTGAAAGAGTAGGCAGAGCTCGCCGAAGCCGACCTCACAGGGCTAGCAACAAGCACAGACCGAACAACGAGCAAGAGGTACTCTCAGCCAATGCAACATGAAGGGGAAGGGTGCGCAAACAGGATCAGACAAACAGAAGGTAGGCCCCACTTGCAATGGGTGAAGCTGCCAACCACAGCCCACAACTGAACCACCTAAGCACACAGACAACGCGAGTGTCTGGCAGCCAATTGTTCTACACTACCCTAGGCAGCAATGAAAAACCACACCAGGGGGTAAGATCTTTTAGGGTCAAAGCCATCCCCACCGAGATGAGGAGGAGACAAGTGACTGAATCACCGTAAATGCTGCAACAAGAAAACCCCAAGGGAACGGCGATAAACAACATTATAGGATTTCGACACTAGAAACGAAAATGTAACGTGGAGGGGCTGGGCGGGTACTACCCTGCCACTTGAGGAATGATGCGGCTAGTACGATGAATTGAACTTGGGAAGGTTATCAGTCTAACCCAAGGGCATTTTGTATCATGAGAACTAAGGACTCTATTAAAACACAACAAGAAACATGAGCTGGCTCAAAGAATGACATGGGTGATCCCCCCAAACACAATGTAAAAATCCCCCCAATTGAACGTGAAACCTATGAGTAGATGATGACAGGAAGCTGAAGATAATTTACCGAAACGGGCTCGTAAGCGACTGTGAAGAGTAGCTTGATATGCCAGTATCATGAGATAATCAGCTGGTAACAAAATGAGAAGCAAACAAGTAATCTGCCACGTAATGCCAACAAACCTCAACACCAAGGACCTCAAGAACTACTGAGTGAACTCAGATATCTCCTCCACAATCCAAGGCATCAAGGCCCATTGTCAGTGTGAAAGAAATACTCGGAGTGAAGCGACGGCAAGGACAAGGAAAAATACTTAAAACAAAGTGTGAAGAACCTATCCTCCTCGGCCGCATCAGCCTCCTTATATAGTATTCTTCCTGCCTGTAGTCATGTGACCCAAAGTGGTCACATGTGCGAAACCAAATCATTAC